ATGTTCATATAGAGTAGATCTCATGTTTTTATGACAAATATATAGAATAGATTAAAATTGTTTTCGTTAGCTTTTTTTTTTGTCAAAGATTTTTTATCTAATTCTATTGTTTTGTTTATGGTAATCCAACATTTGGAAATATTTTCTTTAGTTTTATCAATAATTGTTTTGTAACATCAATCTGATAATTGAACACTGGAAAGGGTACAATTTGAATGTATTCTCATCTTTAGTACATAATAAATCATACAGTATGAATTTGAAATCCATCTTCAAACCTTGACAATTCAATCGCTAGAAAACCCTAAAAAAATCATGCTCATTTTAAATAAATCTAGGCTAGCGACATCAATGATCACACCCAACTAATGTTTGTTGCATCTATATATATCTACTCGATTTATGGTGAAGCTGAACTATCATTAGATTGTAGAAAAGGGCATAAATTTGTGTGGTTTCATATCTGTGGTGATGGTTATTATAATTTGTGGGTTCATTATGTCACACTATTGTCTCAATACATACTCAAAAACAATACGGTCTTCCATTTTTTGTTGTTGGGTCAGAATTATCTTGAATCTTAAAAGGGTAAATTGTGAAGAAATTTTTTTTTTTTTTTTGAGGAATATGAGAGAGACTCGGTTCAATACTTTGTCACATGATCCATTGTATTCAATACTTTACATTTTGTGGATATTTCAAACATATATGTTTGATTTGACAAACAATTTTTCATATACATTCGTTAGCTATTTCTCTCATCAACACGAGTTGAATCAGCTTCATTCCCTAAGTTTTTAAATCGAATAAGCTGTGGAACTACTTCCTTTCCAAGATCTGGTCTATCTCTTTTCCTTAGCTCCGCGCATTTCAACGATAAATTAGCGAAAGATTGAGCCTCTTGTATAGGCCAATCCGTCACAACCGGGTCAAGCATTTCCTTGAAAGTTCCTCTACTTATTGCCCTCGAGACATGGTGAGCCAACCCCATGGGAGGCTTTGCGGTAATAATCTGAAGTAGCAATATCCCCAATGAGTATACGTCTGATTTGGTTGTTAACATTCCTGTTTGTTGGTATTCAGGGTCTATGTAACAAAACGTTCCTGCTGCTGATGTCATGTGGTATTGTGTGACGCTATTAGCTACTGATGCTGGGACTAATCGGGCTAAACCAACGTCACTGATCTTGCTCACATAGTTTTTGTCTATAAGTATATTGGCCGGTTTGAGGTCGCGGTGAACAAGAGGTTCTGGCTTAGCTTGATGAAGGAACGCGAGAGCAGTAGCTATCTCTGCCGCTATTTCAAAACGTTTCCTCCAAGAAAGCGGTGGAGAGTTTCCTCTCCGAAAGAGTCTATCCTCTAGGCTCCCATTTTCCATAAACTCATAGACCAAACATCCATACTCTGGACATGCCCCAAGAAGAAGGACCATGTGTGGATGCCTTATGGAACATAGAACCTCAACCTGTCAGAAGCAGAGTATATTTCATTAGAAAATAAATCAAGAGGCTTCTTTTTACCGGCAAACCAAGTCTAGATTATGGACCAGAGAGCCAGAACTCCGCATATACCAAAAAAATGTTCTTTTTC